TTGGTGATTATCTTTTTTTTCAGGATACTAAAAAAAGAGTTGAGCTTGTGAAGCCAATCGACCGTTGGGGAGATTGCCTTTGGAGTGCTCAACACGCCGCATTAACTGTCTGTGGTGGACAGCAAAAAAAAGGGAAGGCTTACTACTGTACCGAGAGCAGATTAATTGTCACTTGGGTTAGCTTTACACAAAAAAGACGTGGTGTAAAACTTGAAAGGACATTTTTTTTGTAACTCTGTAAAAATAGAAAAATCAGTGTTTATCACAATTAGAAATAATTTGTTTAGTCTCTACTTATACGATCATTTAGTTGGATAAATTAAGGAAGATTCAGATTATAAAAGAAAATTTTCGTCTTCTCTTCTTCCTTTATTTTTAGTTTTCCGCGATCCTCTCACCGTTTTCACCGATCTATATATAGTATATATATAAATAATTATTATTTTTTATTTGTTATTATTGTCTACATTTATATTATATACTTATATATATATATTGATTATATATGTGAATATCATTAATTTTTGGAATAAATGCAAGCAATAACTTTAAACAATAACAAAACTGAAATGAAAATAAAAATTATACCAATAACATAAAATACCATGGGCAGTTGTATGCAGCTCTTTCTTGTTAAAGTTCATGAAAAAAACTACGAATTCATTTAAGGAGTCTGCGAGACATTAAAATTGTTAGAAATTATTTATACAAAGAATTCTATGATTAAGATAGTAAACAAAATTTTCATATTGAGTAATAATAATTATTTGAAGCATATTCTCTTCATTTTCGACTTGTAATTGTAATTTTCACTCAAATATCATGAGCGAGACAAGTCCGCGTCCTCTTCTAGTGAAAGAAACTAGCCCTACACCTACTTATCCTCTCGAAAATTAATTTGTATATTTTTTCTAATTAATTTACCATAATCCTTCCAATTGTTGTTTTATATATATTATTCATTTAAACATTTCTACTTAATTGTAGTAGAATTTTTATAAGAAGTTGTATAAACAGAATTAGAATAATGAAACTTTCACGAAAACCTCTAAATTCTATGAAACCGAAATAATTTAAAAAAAAATGATATTATTTAAATTAGCATTCCATAAATTGAGGATATATTTTTGATTTATCGCGGAGCCCATGCTGAAAAATATTCAGAAATCCTAAAAAGGAATATATGGATTATCTTTTATTCATACCGAGGAGCTACTTCCATAACATTTGAACAAATAAATTGAATTCTCCCTGTTCATTGAATAACAATTAAGGTTGTTGTCGCGCGACAATCTCTGTAAAAAGTTTATCCGCTGTAAAACGGGCCAGTTTAGAACACAATCTTTTAGCGGTATATAGTCTCACTTG